CGGGGTGGGTGGCGGCGCCGGGCTGCAGAGCTCAGCCGGGACCGGCCCGCGGGCACGTGGGGAAAGGTGGCCCCTCCGGGTCAGGAGCCTCCGCGCCGGGCAGGAGCGCCCGGGTCCCTCCAGGGCTGGCCCAGGGCACGTGGTGCCGCCGGCGGCCGCAGGGGCGATTCTATGGCTGGAGAGGCCCGGGGGTCGGGGTCCTTGGAGACGCCCGGGAGCCCCGCGCACGGCGCGGTCGCCGCGAAGGCACAATGCCCGGCGCGGGGAACTCCCTGGCGAGGGGACTCCGAGGTTCGAGGGGATCCCGGCCCCGCGGGGCGCCTCCAAGGGGCTGGCCCGAGCCCACGCGGGTGGGAGCCGGGGTCAGCGGCCCCGCGGGGCGCAGCGCACTCCGCTTCCGGCACCCCGCCCGGGTCTCGCAGGACGAGGGCTCGCCGAGGAGTTGATGACCCGAAGGAGTTGTGGGGAGGAGCGCGCTGCGCGGCGCCCTAGCGAGGCCCCGGCCCGCAGCGCCGCTCTGCGCACGAGGCTGGCGCGGCAGGACGCGAGCGGCGCGCAGGGCCCTCCAGGGGGCGGGCTGGGCGCTGCAGCGGCCGAGTCTCCCGGGAGGTTCGGGAGGGAACCCGTGCTGATTCTCCGGAGCCATGGCCAACCCCAGGGGCCCGCGCGGTCCCGCTGGGTAAGCCGGGGCCCAAGTGGCCGGGTACACCCTTGGCCTAAACTTTCTGCCCGCGCGGCCCCGGGAGGTGGCTTGGATCCCCGGGGTCTGGAGGTCGCCTCCTCCAGAGGGCTGTCGCTTGCATCGCCTTCGGGGCAACGCGAGGCCGGAGGCTGCAGCCTCCCGCTGGCGCAGAGCCTCCCCTGGCGCGCATCCCTGCGGTGCCTGGATTACCGGCGCCCTCACCCAGTCCGAGTGGGGACGAGGCGCGGCTCCGGGCGTGGAGGGATGTTGGGACCGCGTCCTGCCTCCAGACGCCCCAACATCCGGCGTCTCGTGGGGTGGAGGTGTCCTGGGAGCCCAGATCTCCGGCCCCCTCCGCAGGCAAGGGGTTTAGCGGGGTGGAGAGAGACTCCGAGGTGACAGACCCTCCCAGCTTTGGGGAGAGACTAGATTTTTACCGGTCACTTTAATAAAGGACTCTCGCGGTGCCGCTCATCCTGATGTGCGGGAACCCTGAGGTGGAGGCAAATGACAGGGACAGGGGGCTCCATTCCCCTGGTGAACACTCCCCCCACTCCCTCCGAGTCGCTTCTGTGGTAGCCAAGTCGCTAATTTCCTGCTGAAACAGCTCAGCCCGCCCCGGGCGCGCCCCCGGAGCCCAGGCACGTATGCCAAGCAGGTATGAGGCTAATGGAGTGGGGTCGTCCGTAATGAGGTCTTTCAGCCGAAAGCCGGCTTTGTGTTTCTGGTCTGCAAAAAATAATAATAATTTTAAAAAGTATAAACATTGCGGCAGAGCCTGCTCATTAAGTGTGCATCGCGGATTTGGGCGGATGTCTTAATTAGGCTGCGTTGTTAACAGGGATATTGCACTAATTAAAACCAGACCCTCTAGGTGAGCGAAAATTGTGAAGGGAGAGAGGGAGAAAAGTTGAAGTGACAGCTCCGTCGATGAAGGCAGGGTGTGGGCTGGTGGGGGCTTCCCCCTGGCAGAGGAGTGCCCAGGGGGGCAGGGGCTTTGAGGGCGGTGGGGCACTTTCTGAGCACCAGCCAGGCGCCCCCTCACTCCCCGCCTCCACTTGTGGGTGTGGAGCTCCCTTCCACGCTGAGGACCGAGGCTGCGACCCCCCCCCTCCCCAGGGGCTGGAGGCCTCCCTGCATAGGCTCAGGGTACAGGGCACACTCCCTCACTACATGGCTGGGAGCTTCTGGAGGAGGCAGGGCTGTCCCCCATCGTGGGTAAGGTGGGAAACCCAGAGGGGTTAGGTGGCAAAGGCAGAGTTGAGGGGTGCACTCAGGTGGAGACAGCCTGGGCCCGGCGAGGCAGCTGCGTGCTAGGGGGAGGGTGTGCCAGTGGCTTGTGGGTTGTTTGCGCTTGAGCCGCTGGGGTTTTCTGGCACGAGTTCCAACAGTGGTCCCCTCCCCCATAAAAAGAGGACGTAAGTGATAGCTCTGATCCATCCCCCAGGGGCCTGGGTCTTAGATCTGCGTCCACCCCGAGGCCTTGGGTCCCCTCTGGTCGCCCAGAGAATCCTGAAGTCCAGGAAAGTCCCTGTAGGCCCCGCCTTTGACCACATTGAGCCTTTGTTGCAAATGCCCCTCGCCCAGTGCTCTTGGACAGGAGCCACATCAGAGTGGGGTGTAGTCATTGCTCTTCTGCAGGAACCAGATGCCGGGCACAGCCTGGGTAGCCCCCTGCGACAGGGGGAGCACTGGGCAGCAGCACCAAGGACAGGGCCAGGGGCGTGCAGCCTGCCCTCCGGCCTCTGGCTTCTGACATCCTGGGGCCACTGGGGGTGCTGCAGGTGCTCACCCTCATCCTGCTGGGGGAAAGAGTGGGCTCCCCAGGTCCATGCAGAGGTAGGGGAACTCAGTGCCTTTAGAAAGGCAGATTAGGAAGGAGGCAGGTGGGAGGACTCCTGAGTACCATTCTAGAGTCGGCCTTCTGTCGTGTTCCTGCCGGTTACTCAGCTCTGAACATTGCTGGTGGCTCCTCGGAGAAATGGAGTGCTATTCTGGATCTCTTTGATATCTGGGGATGAATTGGGATGGTCGTGGCCCAAGAAAACACCATCCCCAGTTCTGGCTCCTCGCCAGCCTGGCCCACCTCTGGCTCTGCCTCTACCCTGCAGCCTTCTTTGGGAGCCCCCCTGTTCAACCGTGACCGGTGGCCCTGTTATTCTGTGATGTGTCGAAATTGGAGGCTCTTTCCTAAGGGATCCTGGCGGATTTATCCCGCCTCCTCTCGTACACCCAGTGTTATCTGGTGCACGCTTGTGGAGTCGGGAGTGAAGGAATGCACACGTGAGGGAAGCTCCTATCCCAACCAGAAGTGTCAGGCTGGTGGAGGTGGCAGGCGACGAAAGGGGCCTGCCGGAGCGGTGCTGGGGGCGGCATCTCAGTGAGCAGAGAGCGATAGTGCCGAGCTGGAAAGCGGTCGTCGGAGTGCAGGGCTTACCTCCTCAGCCCGCCTGTCTGTGTGCCTGCAATTTCTGGTGGTTGTCTCTCTGTGTTTATTTATTTCCACACTCCTGCTTGATACTCTGTTACAAAGACAAATGGAACCTGACGCGCAGCTGACATTGGGTGAGGAATTTTTTATTTTTAAACAAGTGAAGGGGAAAAACCATCTTGAAGGGCCCCTCCCTCTCCCTGGGCACCTGCCTTCCCTGAATCCTGGCCTGCTGCAGGCCTTTCCTTCTGAACAAGGTCTCGGCTGGCCGTATAAACACATCTCATTTGCACCCGCACCTTCTTGATTGACTGCGGTACCTCCCCATGGTCTTCTGTAGAGCAGCACGTTATCCTCACAGGCTCGTGAAACCTTCAGGCAGCCTAAACACCTTTCCCCTGCCTCTCGGAAGCTGGTTCCTCCCTGAGCCATCACTGTCTCTTTTATTTCCAGCGTCCTGGCTCCATCTCCCTCTGTCTCTCACTCCCCTTTGCCTCCCCTTTGCCTGTCCTTTGCCTCCATGCTTTCTGAGTGGGGTGGGCACTTGAACACCTACGAGAGGTGAGGACGGCTCTCAGCTCCTAGGAGGAGGGCGGTAGTGTTCGTTACACAGTGGGGTCTGTTCTGTGTCGGGGATCCACAGACAGAAGGATGAGCAGCCTCGCGTAGAGAACTACCTCGTGATGCGGACCGATTTCGTTCACAAAATAGACGTTTTTAAGTGCAATGCACTTAGCAAATGAGTTTGCTCTCACAGTTCCTCCAACACATGAGCTGATGCTGAAACATGCCTTAGAAGGTGACTTGAGATAATAAAGAGCATAGAATCTGTGACGTTATGTGAAAGTGTTTCCTCTGGTCGCCGGGGGCAAGCTCACAGTGTGTAAATTGCATTTCGGAAAGTGTTGCCAGCGTCTGGTGCAGCGGGAATGCTCTCAGGAGCGAGGGACCCACCGTGAGGGCGTCCAGCCGGCAGGCTCCTCAGGGCACAGAGAGGACTGTCAGTCTTATTTTAAATGTAGGGGCCTGAAGATGTGCTCGACTGTGTGACAGGGACACCTTCTTCTGTGCCTAGTGGCCACTCTGCTGTGTAGCTCAGGGCTGGTTCCTGGAAGGTGGGTTGTGACTCGTCAGCTCAGGTTGGATGGGGTGGGCTCTTCAAGGTCTGGGGTTTCCTGGGGGGCCAAGAGCAAAGCAGTTCTTACTGGAAGGCTTTTTTGTTGTTGAAGTGTTTAAAGTCAGAGCGTGTTT